AAATACTCAAGAATAATTTTGACTCAATGAGTAAATAAATGAATAAAACTTGCATCATTCAAAGCTCCAGCTTCTGTATTGTTGAAAGGGTTATTTGTTTGAGATTCAGAATTTAAAATTCAGAGTACAAAATGTATATCTTATTGTTGAGAAAAGTTTTCTGGAGACAGAATCACAATAGATTGCCATTTAGCAGCCAAGCACTATATAACAGTCTCTGCAATCCACACTATTAACGTCACTGTGCAAAAAATGATTGTGTTTCATTAACAACACCAAGCTCACCTTCACACCCAGAACCACTAATGAGTTTTTTTTTTTTTTTGCTCCCTTGACCACCTGTTAATTCTCTGGAGTTCTAGGCATCATGCACACAGCCTTCTATTTAAAATTGTGGATGCCATAACTTACATCTCTCATCCAAACAGGCCTCTCCACTCTGTGGCCCAGCCAAGATAGTCCTTTTCATATGTCTCTTAGCTCCAGTCCCATTGTCATTTTCTCCCCTTCCCCAGCCCTTCTGTGTGTCTCCTTCCCCACAGCCCCTCTATGTCTCATTCTTCCCTACCGCAGCCCCTCTGTGTGTCTCTTGGTTACCTTTCTCAGCCCCTCTTTGTCTCTTGCTCTACTTTCCCAGACCCTATGTGTGTCTCTTGATCCTCTTTAGCCCCTCTCTTTATCCCCTAAGCACCTTTGTGTGTCTCCCACCCCACCATGTGTCTCTTTCTTTCCTAGCCCCTCAGTGTGTCTCTTTCTCCCCGTCAGCCCCTTCTGTGTGTCTTTTTCTTGCCCCAGCCCTCTCTGTTTGTCTCATTTCCCTTCAGTCACTCCTTGTGTCTCATCCACCCAAGCTCTCCTTGTGTCCCTTTCCCCTTCCCCAGCTTCTCCTTGTGTCTCATTTCTCTCCCCAGCCAGGGCTGTTTTTACTCATGTGCCTGCTGGGCAGTTGCCCAGGGCCCCACAAGCATAGGGGCCCCACCATGATACCTGTGACGAGACCAATCTCGCCACATTGCATTGGAGAAGCCTGGTTGCTCGCCTGCTGCCTTTGGACTATGGCCCCATGTTAAAAGACTTTATTTTCCCCTGCAAAGACAAGAAAGCCGGGTCATTTGGTGCTTGCCCTGTTTGAGCAGTGATACCCCAGATAGCTATGCCATGGAGCCCATTCGTATAATGAAAGACTATGGGAAAGACTTTGGCTCCGTGGCAATTGAACTGTATGTGTGTGCTCTGAGCGCCATTCAGTAATAATGTGCGCTCAGACCTAAGCTATCTGGGCATATGTTGCATGTCTGTATTTTATGTCATAAATGTAACCTTGTGTATTTTATTGTATTTTACTGTCTTTTTGCTGCCATGTGTTCAATGGAGTTTTGCCTCTGTCTTTGGAGATAATTGGATTACTTCTAATTATCTCCAGGATAGAAGACTCTGTGGAACTGGTTTTGGGCAGAAAAGCCATGCTTCATTTGGTCACAAAGGACTATGATCTATCTTTTGAACCACTGGACCAATTTGTATGATTTTGACGTATGTTTGTATTTGGAGTATGCTGATTCTGAAAATGTACATTTATGTGAATGTGATGCATACTTTTCAAGTTATGAATAATGTGGAAAAATTGTATTTCTCTGCTTGTTCTAAATTACATTACCCATTGTGTAAGGTAATTGAATCACATGCAGAGGGGAGGAATTTGTGTGGGAGTGTCTGAGTGTATTGTATGTGTTTATTGGTTGTGTTCCAAAACCCTGTGTGTAAGAATGTGTACATAAGCACAATAAACCCACAGCTCTGCCTGTTCACTGCTTGACCCTCAACACGGAGCTTTGTCTCGTTCTTGGGGGGATTTATTGTATGCTGTTCCAGTTTGACTGCTAGGAGTGTAAACCTATTTGTATGGTTTTTCCTATTCGGCTGTTTACAGTATTCATATGGTTTCCTGTTCGACGGATTGGTGTTCTGCAGTAGCTGTGCCTGTGTCTCTGGAAGGGAAGATCTACTAAACGGCGGTTTAACCCTTTTATGCTGAGGGTGCCGTTACAATACCCATGTGCCAATGCTGATAATGGAGATCCTTTCATCTTCTCTGCCAGCCCATGCAGAGCCAGCCTTGCTGTCTGTCCTTTTGGGCCAGTGGGGAGATCTCCCTAACCAGCCCAAAGGCAATTTACAGCAGAGGGTGGAAAGTAGAACCCATGAGACTACAGGAGAGGGTAGAGGTGGAGGGCCTGGGAGACTGTATGAACCTGCCACAAGCAGGCTGGTTGGAGCGTTGCTGTGCGTTACCACACAGCGCTCAGCTCAAGGCAGGACAAGTTCACCGCCAACACTGGACCATCACAGTGCAATGTCCCCCCTCCCTGATAAAAGGTAAGAAGAAGAGGGAGGACATAAAGCTTTCTTTTTTCTTTTTAAGTAGAAATAATAAAAAATATATACATTTACTCCCTTAGCACCCCCCCACACAAGAGACCTTATGCACTCCTCACAAATACTGCACCAGTACACACCTCTACATACAAACACACATTGCACCACTCCACACAAACATTGTACCTCTCACATACACTGCAACCCTCATTCAGCAATCTGTGTGTGTACTCAGCAGTCTGTGTGTGCATTTAGCAGTTTGTCTGTGTATTCAGTAGTCTCTGTGTGTTTTGCAGTTTGTCTGTTTATTCAGCAGTCTGTGTGCGTGTACTCAGCAGTATGTGCATGTACTCAGCAGTCTGTATGTATGGTATGTATGTACTGCATTTGTTGGAGGTACCAATGTTATTGATATTTATGTTTTTATTCATGTGAGTGGTTGGGTAGACAGGGCCCCAGTGCACTGCTTTGCTTGGGGGCCTATAATGCTGTTAAAAAAGCCCTGTCAACAGCCCCAACCCCAGTCCCTCTGTGTGTCTCTTTCCTTTCCAGCCCCTCCACTTATCTTAATCCCGCTCCAGCCCCTCCTTGTGTCTCATTTCCCCCCTCAGCACCTCCATGTGTCTGATTTTCCCCTCTCAGACCCTTTATGTGTCTTATTTCCCCCCTCAGCTCCTCCATATGTATAAAATCCCCATCAGCTCCTCGATGTGTCTTATTACCACTCCAGCCCCTCCATGTGTCTCATTCCCCCCCAGTCGTTCCATGTGTCTCATCCCCCCCCGTTCCTCCAGGTTTATCATTACCCTTGCATCCCCTCCAGGTGTCTCATTTCCCTCCCTTAACCTCTCCATGTATCTCATTTCCCACTTTCAGCTCCTCCATGTGTCTCATTCGCCTCCCCCAGCCCATCCATGCATCTTATTTCCCCACTGCTCCTTCACGTGTCTCCCCCCCTCCTTCTGTGCCCACTGACCTTTTTGTAGCATGGCCGAGCTGTGGACAGGGTAGAGGAGCTTCTGTTTTCTCAACCCGGTCTGACGGGAAAGTGTTTGTTAAAGAGCACTTCCTGTCAGACCGGGTAGACTAAACAGAAGCACCTCTACCTGTGGTATGCTTGGCCACACTACATGCAGTGACCAGCAGAAGGGGAGCGCTCGAGCCGACGGGCACTGTGTGGTATACCGGTGTACCAGTCCGGTCGTGTCAATGATTCAGTACCGCAGTCAGTGCTATGAACAGCGGGACCATTAGGGAGCTCTTAAAATAAATGACCTTAAAGACCACCAAGGATACTGTTTGCTAGTTCACCCTCCACCAGACCACTTAGACTCCTTTCCACACAAAATTCAGTCACCACACATACAACACTCAACCAGAACACACAGGTAAACTCAGTCATTCCCCCCCACATACAGCTTTCAGCCTTATCCATACACAATACAAAGTCAGTGCTTTAGGATGGGGCCCTAATCTGGCATCCTGCCAAATGCCACGGGAAACCTTTATTTGGCTCTAGCTAATGCTGCATACAGCTGTGCTGACCAATTGGATATGTAGCAGGATATGTAGTAGTAATTTGCAACAGCTCAATTTACCCAGCAAACTCTCCTACTCTTCAGAGTCAAAGTGTTCTCACAGCAACAATGTAACAATATGTTTCGAAGCATATAAGCATATTTCACTGCCTACTAGACTTGTGCATTTGTTTCGACCAAATTACAATTCACCCAAATTTAGGCCAATTGGCAGTTTACTTAAATTCCAATCTCAAGGCCCATATAGCTGTATAACCAAACAAACAATATGCCCAGTGGACGCACATGTTTGTTTGATTTGGAGTTCCGCTTGTAGCCTTTTAGTTTGTCCAAATAGTTTTCCCAGATGTTTTTGTCTGGACAATGTTCGGACCATTCTAACTGCTACGTGGATTAATATCGAAGGTCCCAAACAAAATTTTATATATAGAAATTGAATTCTACTTTTTTTTTATCCTTTATTTTTGTTGTGCATGTTATACATAGCAATGACATACGCCACAACAGCATATCTAAGAATGTACTTAGGTTGAACAGTGGCAAGAGGAGTTGCACATTTTTGTATAATTATAATAAACATCAGCTTGGCTAAACAGTGAAGACGTTAAATTGAAAATGAAAAGGTAGCTTATCATAACAGTTATAACTGAATATAGCCTCGCTAAAGTTGCTGTGACTACCATAAGATAACATATGAACTGATTGACAGGCTAGGTCTAGCTGTTATACATGGGTGAGTCACATATAGGTAGAAGTCATTAAAATTAAGATGAAAAGGTAGCTTATCGTAACAGCCACAACAGCTATAACTGAATATATCCTCGCTAAAGTTGCTGTGAATACCATAAAATAACATTTGAACTGAGTGATACAGGCTAGGTCCAGCTGTTATACATGGGTGAGTCACATATAGGTAGAAGTCAATAAAATAAAGATGAAAAGGTAGCTTATCGTAACAGTCACAACAGCTATAACTGAACATCTCCTCGCTAAAGTTACTGTGAATACCATAAGATAACAAATGAGCTGATTGATACAGGCTAGGTCTAGCTGTTATGTATGGGTGAGTCAGATATAGCATTAACAGGCTGAGCGTGTGTGCCTGCTGACTGCGTGAACCCAGTCAGGCTGGCCCATGTGAGTCATATATGCAAGTCCCAGCAATGGCAACTGTTGTTAGCGGTTAGTCCCATAGTTGCGGTACAGCTTTAGGCAGCGGGCTTTAATTCAGCCTATTCCCGAGGATGGGAAGTGTGAGTCTTGTGCACTGAGGGCGAGGGTGGCTGTTGCAGTCCGATGGCTCTGTTGGGTATCCCTCCGCCCCAGGCTGGTTGATAGGCCAGCATCTTCGTGCCACGGACTTGGGGGCTCCTGGGGTCCCTGTCCACCCCTCTAAGGGGTAAGCAGGAGGATTTGGTGGTAGGCGGCCGCTTGTAGCGGGTGATCCTCCGCCTGTGTGGGCGATGCCGCGGGGTTCTGCCCCTCGTGGCCCTCGGCCTAGGTGATCTCTTAATGGGAGGAGGTTTATGTGCTTTCGAGACATGGATGATCATAGGGGGCCCCCTCACCATCCGCCTCTCAGCCTCCCGGTCGTCCTCCCGATGTTGGGGCTTTGCTGCTTTTTGACGTGCCTCCAATCCTGCCCAGAAGCGGGTAAAAAATTCATCCAGCCTCCTTTGAGTGATCTGTGCTGGGCTTAGAGGTTCTGGTTCGGATTGCTGGGAGTTTTCTTCTTGTAGGGTATGTTGGGCCGCCATCTTGTGTGTTTCTGCTGGGGCAATATCTCAGCTAGTTAGGGCAATTAACTTAAGTTCGCTTGGTTCCAGGTACAGGCTAGGGCGGACCGGGCTTTATTACAGGCTTGGGAGGGCACTAGGTCGTGCAGAGCGGGGGAATCGGCCGCCTCACCCGTCCGGCGATACTGCTAGGCCTCACTCCCGACACCCTCGACGGATGCTCTGTGCACCCGCGGGCGACAGACCCAGGGCACCTCGGCTGGCTCCTGAGGTAAGTACGATCAGGCTTCAGGCGTTTTTGTAGGTTCTGGCTGGCTGGAGTGCATTTATTCCAGCTAGAAGAGAAGATTGAGCTCAGAGCTCACACGAGGCACGTCCAGCCGCCATGAAGCTCAGGCCCCGCCCCGAATTCTACTTTTTTTAAGTGATTCAACTGAACCAAATTTTTTGTACATGTCTACTGCTTACCAAATGATCACAAAGATGAGGAATTCCATGGGATAGTCCTTTACTGCTTACAGGATAAACTAGATCATCGTAAAAAAAGAAAAATCATTAATATAAGTCTTTGTACAAAATATAAAGGAAATACAGCTGTTGCTCTACAAAAAGATAATTGCATAGTGTAATACAATTAGAATATATATAGAAATATACTCACAGGATTGATGGTTATTATATTACCTCTGGATGCCTTCCCTCAGATGTCTGGGGGTCTGATCCAAACATCTCCTCCTGCTCCCACTCCCCTTTGGTGGATTCCACACTCAGGATACTTTTCAGGACTCAAGGTAGGTATTAAAAAGTATCATTTTATTTTCAAAGAAATAAAAAAAACACACAAAAAGGTCCTACATACTTCATTCAAAATAGGACTTCCTCAAGGACCAAATTAAATAAAAATAATTAGAACAAATTAAAACACAACATAAAATCTAAAATATCCCCTAGAGGGGGACACAGTGGATGCTATTATTGACAAATGTATTTTGGGATGGCTGAAGTGTATCTAGATGAGGCCATAGATAAGGAATGTTACTTATGAGGGTAACATTGTCATAGTTCTTTGTTTGTCATTGAACGCCTAGTGAAGCTGCAGGACTATTAGATTTATTTTATTCTATAATGTAGATATTGTGGGCTCTAGGCTTTTGTTTAACTGTTGAAGGTGTATCCAATGACTTTTGTGAGATGGCGATATCTTGCCATTGCTGTTATAGATTGTGCATACATCCATCTGCTACTTTTTCCTGGGTTATAGGAGGTAACAGATAGTGAAGATACAATAGTAAAGCTACTTGCATTGTAAGATATGCTGCAAAACATGTTGACTCTTCATAAATTACAGTAAAAGGGTGTGGATACGACATTGGTGGTGAAGAACAAACATAAGCTACAAGGTTTAGTTTTGCAATTTCAACATCACAAACCTGTTCTCTGTTTAAAAGGAACAGTACCATAAAAAAGTAGGCTTCTCACAAAGCATATGGTTCAAGGAATGACTCTGTCTCCGAATTTATACACATATCTTTACAACATTTATAACTGTTGCAATAAGAGCAACAATTAGCGAGACGGGAGTGACTTATGGGATAAGCTCAGATTTTTTGAAAACAATGGGAGCATGTTAATTGCTTAAACTACGCACTAGTTTGGTCTGAGCTCACTTCCTCTGAATTACAGAACTGTTGCATAATCCTTCCTACATGTTTATGGTCTTCATAAAAGATTGTTGACTATATGTCATCCTGTAGATAACAGAGACATGTAGGCTGTGATCAAGGACACTTAGTGTAAGGGTCTAAACTGCAATGTTATTCTTCTCAATCAACACAGCACTCTTCTTTCATATATTTTAAGGCCTACCTTCTCATCACTGCCAATCCCATTCCCTATACGCTTTTGGTGCATGTGAGATTGTCTACATACTTACCTAGACCCCCTTATCATATTGACATGGCTGGCTTGTGCAGCCTTGAGGCTGCTTTGAGTCCCTCTCTGTGTTTAACTGCTACCACACTTCAGTGTTACTGGCAGTGTATTTGGTCGGGGATAGGTAACCAGCCTCCTTCTCCGAATCTCTATTTTCTGCTCTCTACTTGCCTTCTCCTCTGCTAGTGCACTCATCCAATGCAACGGGGTCCAAAGCATATTGGATTTTCCCGACAGCACCAAGGGAGCTGACCTGGCAGAGGTGCTCAGTCTGGGTTCAGAAGCTCTGTCACAATAATATATACAGCAGAGGTTCTAGTGATTGTTTGATAATGAATAATACTGATTTATGTATGCTTGAAATGTGGACAGAAAAATATATCTAGTTGAATTTTCATCATTGACTGATCTCTGGTTATGTTTTATTACATCATAAAATACATCAACAATAGATTATTTGTTCTGGAATTGCCATTAATATGCTGTCTCTATTTTAGTTTCAGTCCTATTCCTATTTGGCCTCAGCGTGTTCCACCTGCAAAATTTTGATTAATCATGTTAAGCACCACTTAGGATAATGTTTAGGAGCCATCTCAGTGCCATATAAACTAGGAGATATTTAACCAGGATTTCAAGATAAAAATAAGAAGAAAAGGTCAATTAGAAGTCTACCAGAACTGCTGTAATGTTTTTATTGTTAGCATAAAAAGACTTTTGGGTAATGTTTAACTTTAACAGTGGGACTGTGTGTCATCTCTATGAAAGGACAGCATTGAACAAACATTCTTAGAGCAATAATTGCATTGAAAAAGGGAGATCAGTAGAGACAAATTGCAACACTGAGGGATAGTGTCAAGTTTGAAGGAAGTTCAGTGCTCATTTCATGAGTTAGGATATTAAAATAAAGGAGGGAATATGTCAGGAGAGATAAGTAGTTTGGAAATTATTTTGTTTACAGTAGACAAAAGACCAACAATCACAACACATTTGACTAATTTAATTAAAATCATTGAGGTGTCTGTAAAAGAAAATCAAGAGGTCAACCCCAACCATGGATAAAACCCAGAATAAAAAAACCCAAAACGAACTAGATGTTTCAGTGGATCCTTTCCCCCCACTTCCATTACTTTAAGGGAGCAACATGACAAGAGCTGTTGCATTTGGAAAGAGGGTGCTCATGAGTGAAAAGCACCTACATAACCCCCTCCCCCTGCATTGGCTAAGCTGTGATTACCAAAAGGTCCCTGTTCCCTTGTCACTATATTCAAGGCATCTCTAGAATCTTTAGTCTTCTTATAAATACAGGGCCAGAAGAATGAGAAGGAAATCTGACAGGTAGAGTGATATCCCCCCACTATGGTAGAAAAAGGAGTCCAGCACAGTCCCAGTCTCAATAAGATGATCATTTATGAATGATGTCAAATAAGTGGGTGATGTGTCGGCCGTTATGAAATCTATAGAATCAGCTTATTGAGACTGGATATAAAGATGAGTCAACTCATTTTAACAAAATTATAAATGTCTATCTATAGTCATTCCCCAAAAATAAAGGAAGCACCAAAGGACTGCCTAATGTAAAATGTCTTTATTAGAAAATGTAAGTAGCCAAAGAAAACACACGTAAAGTGACCCAAAAGTTCCACGAATGGTTAGTTAGAAGGCAGCTGTATCTAATTAGAACACCAGCAGCTAGATTGGAAAAGTTACCAAGTGACTACACAATATACAAATTGTAATGTATACGGTCCAAGTGGGAACAGAAACAGATACAGTTGCCAATCATAACTAACTTCCAACTATGAAGGCCAAACTCAAATGCTCTTTTAAAGTTGCGTATCAAAGCAGCCAAATCTGAAATGTGTAATTGAATAAGTAAGCAATTCCTTATTACCAAATGGAAAAGCAGCAAGCCCTACAGACACTTCAACACTGAAACTACTTTTTACGACTGGGCTACAAGTTCTGTTGGGAAACAGCCAAACTGAAGCCCTAACTGCCTTTAAAACTAACTCCTATCTGGTATAAGTAGATTATGAAGTTACTTCAGCCCTTGGGAGAGAAGTGTTCAAGGGCTTACATTACTAATGGAACTGAACCACCAGTTACCTAAGCTCCAAACATTTGGCAGGGGAAAGGTGGCCATTATCACAGCGCGCACAGCAGTAATGCCTGAGCCAAAATATGACGTCACTCCGTCTCCGGCATCACTAAGAAGTACATGAGGGAGATGAGCAGGAAGACCACTGGACCCCAGGGACTGCACGCCAGCCGCTCCGCCCAGCAGGGAAATTGAGACTCCATGCCAGCACTCCCAAAGGTAGGGAGGCTGGGTGGAGTGATATTTAAAATAAATAAATACATTGTGTGTGTGTCTGTTAAGGAATTTGTATGTGTGTTTGTCACTGAGAGTGTATGTGTGTTTGTCAGTGAGTGTGTGTGTATGTGTGTTTGTCAGTGAGAGTGTATGCGTGATTGTCAGTGAGAGCGTATGTGTGTCTGTCAAAGAATATGTTTGTCTGAGTGTGTGTCAGTGTATGTATCTGTGTGTCAAGGTTTGTGTATGTGTCACTGTGTGTATCTGAGTGAGTGTGTGTGTGTCAGTATGTGTGTGTGTGCCAGTGTATATCAGTGTGTTTGTATGTGCCTGTGTGTGTGTGTGTATCTGAGTGTGTGTCAGTGTGTGTATATGACACTGTGTGTATGTGTCAATGTGTGTATCTGAGTGTGTGTATGTGCCAGTGTGTGTATCTGTGGGTGCAAGTGTGTGTATATGTCACTGTGTGTATCTGAGTGTGTGAGTGTATTTGTGAGTGATTACATGCGCACACACACACACACACACAGATACACACTGTGTGTTAAGGTGTGTGTATCTGTGTGTCAGTGTGTGTATCTGTGTGTCAGATTCATACATACTGACACACAGATACACACACTGACACATCCAAGCACAGATACACACACCTTGATACACAGATACACACCGACACATACAAACACATATGCACACACTCTGACACACAGATACACACACCTTGACACACAGATACACACACACACACACAGATACACGCTGTGTGTCAAGGTGTGTGTCAGTGTGTGTATCTGTGTGCCACTATGTGTATCTGTGTGCCACTATATGCCAGTGTGTGTGTATCTTTGTGTCAGATACATACACACTGACACACAGATACACACACTGGCACATACAAACACAGATACGCACACTTTTACACATAGATACACACACCTTGAAACATAGATACATGTACACACACACACACAGGTACACACTGTGTGTCAATGTGTGTGTATCCGTGTGTCAGTGTGTGTATCTGTGGGCTACTATGTGCCAGTGTGTGTGTGTGTATCTGTGTTAGATTCATACACACTGATACATAGATACACACACTGGCACAAATAAACACAGATACATACAACTTGATACACAGACACACACCAGCATGTACAAACACAGATACACACACTTTGACACACATATACACACACTTTGACACACAGATACATACACCTTGACACACAGATAGATACATACATACACACACACACACACAAACACACACACAGATACACACTAATTTAAACTCAAAATTAGTGTTTAAACATTAAAAAGCATGCTGTACAGCAGAGATTAATCCCCATAAACGCTTAGTAGGTAGGAAGTTGAGGCAACTGACATGGACTGTTAAAAATATTAGAAGAATTTTATTATGGCTTTATGGCTTCAAAGTGTTAGTGTTGATTTTGTCTTGCTTATGTACAATTAGCACATGTACATTGTTTTTATTAAGGTCAAGATAACCTGTTTTCTGTACATACCAGCAAGATCGTATGTACCGATAACAGCAGATACTAAGGTGATTAGTCCACCAAAATGTTTTAATAAGGGTCTGAAGGTTCAGAGGGTTTAAAGGTTCTGAATAAATCTCCCGGAATAATATACTGAAAAATGTAAAAGCCTATGGGGCCCCTGTGCACGTGGGGCCTCTGCCCTGCATGCGCATGCGTTAAGAGACCCCTTGGTTTTAGTGTTGGAATATTCCTTTAGTTTGGCATCCCTTCCTTTTGAAGAATTTTTTTTTCCCCAAGTGAAATATATTTTCAATAGAGTTTTATATGCATGTTTATAGAAAGAGTAAATCTGTATATCTTTGCCAGATATTATATTCTGATTCCACTTGATAAAGTCTTTGAAACACATTGTGGATTATTCATTGTTTTTTATTTTGTTTTCAACTAGCAATAAAGTATTATTTGGCTTCAACTTTATTGGTGTTGCCATATATATATTTGTTTTTGCTATTTTTAAAATTTTTTATTGTTACTCTTCACCTGGCATCCTTATAAGACCTTCTGCATTACAGACGGCTGGATTAAAGAGTCTTCGGTGAGGATGTACCACCTACACTACACACACTGAGAGGTTGGACTGCTCTGAATACTGTAAGTAGGATTTTATTACCATGCTTTCCATCTCACTGTACAGAGATCACAATATGGTCTCTTTGCTCTACTTTATATGGTCTCCATGGTCACCTATTGCAATGCTGAATACGAAGACGTATATATGTATCCATAAGTGGGGATCTATACCTCTACATGACTTATACACTGGAGCTGGTTTAAAGCTCCATCCCACGTGAGTTGCCAATCACACATTTGTGTACTGTGTGTCTCATCAATCTACGACACACTGCACTGTTGGATGTTTTGTATCTTCTGTTACATAGTAACATAGCTGAAAAGAGACTTGCGTCCATCATGTTCAGCCTTCCTTACATATGTTTTTGCTGTTGATCCAAAAGAAGGCAAAAAACCCAGTCTGAAGCTCTTCCAATTTTGCAAGAAACTAGGAAAAAATTCCTTCTTGACCCCAAAATAGCAGTCAGATGTCTACTTGTATCAAGCAGCTATTACCCCACTAATTAGAAATTATATCCCTGTATGTTCTTTTGATATGTATCCATGGCTCCACGGTATGAGAAGGAATCCAATCTCTCCTTTCTAAAGAGAAAACAAAAATTACTACGGGTGAGATATTTTGATCTCCCCACCAGTTAGAGAAGGGCTGGCTCAGAGCCAATGCTCCAGGCCCAGACAGGGTCCGAATTGGCCCTATGTTGCCTCCATGGTTACCTAATGGGTAATCTGGTTCTGTTTGCAGTGCCTCGTGCCTACTTCACTTGGACATTGACCAGCTTGCAGGATACTTGAATTCCATAGTCCCGACTCCCTACTATATTTTTACAATGGCAGAGGTCAGTTTAGAAAACCAGACAGACTTGGGCAAATATTAATTTGCAGGCTTTCTGAACCCCATAGTTCCAACTTCACATTTTATATTTCTAGAGGTTGATTTTGAAGACCTGATGAATTAGATTCAATTTAAGAAGTATTGTTTTAGATGTATTTACCACTATGAATACTGAAATTAGGGATTCATTTAAAAACTGGCAACAGCAAAGCACATTGTGTACTAAATGACTTGAAAGATTTAAATAAGTTGTTAAAGTCAATAATACGTGTCAGTAGCAATTAAACGGGTAACAGGTGGTGTGGGTCACCCTGGGTGACAGGCAGAGGAGCACAGCACACAGAAGCACTTCCATATACCTGTGGCAGCATGACTGCATAGGACTGCAACAGAGGTCTTTATGTCCAGTTTGACAGGAAGCAGCAAGTGGTATGCAGTGAGCGTAGAAGGCAAGGACTAAATGTTATATAAGGAGTCATAGGGGTCAGGAGCGAAACACAAGTGGTTAAGGAATTTGGAGAGGCACAACCGGGTAGGAGGGGTTAGGAGTAGTGGCGTAACTACCACGGTCGCAGGGTTCGCAGCGGCGACTGGGCCTGTCACTCCAGGGGCCTGGCTGCCGTGTAGACCCTTGCGACCAGGTGACCGGCAGGAGGGGAGCACATAGCACAGTATTTCCCTCTTGCCAGTCACTGTGTGTAATGTGGCCGAGCATACCACATTCTGACAAGAAGTGCTCACTGAGAACAACAAGCACTTCCTGTCAGACAGGGTACTGCGGTGACCAGGTACAAGAGTGATGTGGGATAGACACATAGAGGGGTGGGGGGGAGAATGAGACACGTGTTGGCGCTGGGGGGGAAGGAATGAGAAACATGAAGGGGCTTGGGAGGAGTGAATAAGAAACATGCGGGGAAGGGGGGAGAAACATGGCGGGGCTGGGAGGGGAATGAGACACATGGCGGGGCCCTCACCCATATTGTGTCTCTCCTAACCAGAGGCGTAATTAGAAACCACCGGGCCCGGCTGCACAAATTGCCCACACTTATTATATATCATTTTCTTGTTCAGGAGAAACAGGGCTTTCGAATTTACATTAAATATTTATACATCAAATATAATGTAAGTCCCTGCAAAATGTATAAGATTTCATTTTTAAAATTATTAAATTGGGGGCGGGGCCTGACTGCCGAGGGAGAAAGCCGCATTGTGGCAGAGCTCCTCAACTATTTCTGGCAACAAGCCTAATAGCCATCATTTTTGGACACTATACTGAAACAGATTAGTGTGTACCAGCCTCACACAGAACTGGACCAGGACTAATTACTAGTCCATTCCTCGAGTGCAACAGAGGCAAACTCCCTTG